ATATGTGGGTTAGCCCCTACAGAAAATTGAGTTTTTCGATAAATGCTATATTAAGAAGTTTAGGCTCTTTATTGTTGATTAAAATTACCCAATCACATTCTAAATGTGTATTAATGTATGTTAAAATTATTTTAATGGTACATGGACATCATTTCAATTTTTCCAACAGGTAATTTATTTAAATTTTATATGCCACTTAATTAGTGGACAAAGCCCCTATAAAGGAAAATCTATTTTCTGGAGAAACATGAACACCTAACGTCTCAAACCTCTTTAACCTTCATACTATGTCAGTGAATGATGCAAATATGCATTAAAACAAAATTTACATATTTTTTAATTTTTCCCAAATGGGTTAACCCTTGATAAATGCTATATTAAGAAGTTTAGGCTCTTTATTGTTGATTAAAATTACCCAATCACATTCTAAATTTGTATTAATGTATGTTAAAATTATTTTTATGGTACATGGACATCATTTCAAATTTTCCAGCAGGTCATTTATTTATGTTTCATATATCACTTAATCAGTGGACAAAGCACCTATAAAAGAAATTCTATTTTTTGGAGAAACATGAACACCTAAGGTCTCAAACTTCTTTAACATTCATACTATATCAGTGAATGATGCAAATATGCATTAAAACAAAATTTTCATATTTTTTATTTTTTCTCGAAATATGTGGGTTAACCCCTACAAAAAATCAAGTTTTCGATAAATGCTATATTAAGAAGTTTAGGCTCCTTATTGTTGATGAAAATTACCCAATCACATTCTAAATTTGTGTTATCCAATTACCCAATTCTCATATTTTCTATTTTTTCTTGAAATATGTGGGTTATCTACGAAAAAATCAAGTTTTTTTTATAAATGCTAAATTCAGAAGTTTAGGCTCTTTATCCTTGATAAAAAAATTACCACATCAAATTCTAATCCTCTTTGATACCAGTGCAACTAATAATTCTTTAATTTGTTTAGTTATTTCTCAATCTGTGTAACATATTTATAAATACAAAATTATATAATCAATACTAATGTTTTTACAAATATTATTATTGTTATCAAATAAATATAAATTATGTTTACATATAAACTTTAATAAAATCATATAAAATATAAGTAAAAATAATAAAAATAAAAGTAAAAATTATATAAAATATAAGTAAACTATTATTGTTTAAATGTGAAATTTTGTATTGATTTTAATAAATTATGATTGATTATGATCAAAATGTTGGTGATAATATTAACAAATATTGTTAAACTACTAAATTTATAAAAACATCTTGAATAATTATTAATGTAATTAAATTAGTGAAAATATAATGTGATCTTTTTTTTTTTGTGAAACCGTGATCTTTTATATTATATATAGTTGATGAGCTACGTATTAGTTTTGGGCCAAGGGTATACGTAGGCTGGTACTGCCGTTGTTTCCACGTATTATAGTCTTCGCTAACGAGTCCCTTCGGGGACATCCGATAAAAAAAAGTCTTCGCTAGCGATATTTGACTTTGACCGGAACTAAAATATAGAGGGTGATTTGTTGGGTTGTAAGTAATGACTTTAGCTTTAATTTCTATCTATAACCATTTAAATCATCAATCATGCTTTAAGTAGATTTTAAATCTAAAGTCAAAAAATTGGAAAAGTGGTTATAGGAAGCCTATTTTCTAAAGCAAAAAATTATTGTTGTAGGATTGTTGTATGAATATCTTTCCTTCTATATTTTTTTCATTTAATTTCTACAGCTACATTAGATACAACTACATCAAAAACATCTACAGTCTAAATTCTACAATAAAAATTTTAAATCTACAGTTCAACCAATCACCCCCATAGTGGATAAATGTATTTATGTTTAGCTTCACGTGACATCGACCAAGATTTTAAAAGTTTCTATTTTTATATTACTCATCCAGTTAGAGACGATTGTGAAGTTTCGAGTTTAACAAGTTATCGATTGGATTTGAAGTTTGTATGTAAAAGTTTATCCTGTAAGATAAGTGAATTTTAAAACTGATAAGTATGTAACGAACTATGAAATATAACTCAATACTTATATTACTATTCTAGTTATGTCATGTCTCTCTAATACTATTAGTTTTATGTTTTTTTGTATATTCATGATGAGAGATTGTAGAGCATCTTTAATTTATTGGTATTTTATATGAGATAAGTGTGAAAACAAATGCAATAGTATATTATTAAGTTGTTAAGTATCTCAAGTGACAAATCCATTTTAAATTTCTCATTTGTGAAAGGTTCACATGATTCCCTTTAACATGACGGTTTATTCAACTTATATTTAAAGACCAAATCTTACGTTATTTTAAAATGGGTTACATTTGTTTAATTTTACAAGCTGGACTTTAATACCATATGGAAGAATAAGTAGATAGACACATATCGTTTTTATACTAGTGTTAATTATCTTTTCATATTTTGAAGTAAAAATAATTATAGTATATGTCTATGTCTATGAAGAAGAATTCATATTTTGTGTATATATGTGAGTATACATTGTATTGACGAAAAGAAAATGTAGAAATTTACGTTTGTGTCTGAAAATGCATGACCCAACATACTCTCGTATTCTTCTTAGCCTAACAATCACATAATATATATTTTAGAAGGATCTGAAAAGTCTTTATTATAGTGTGCTTATCTAAATTTTTTATTAGGCTTACTTTTGTATTCAAGAATCAAGTTACAATTTATCTAACACATATTTATTCAGTTATTCCTCTTTGATGGAACTCAGTCTTCTCGACATCAAGTAATCTCCACACCGTTGAGGCGAAACATCATCACCGGAGCTAAGAACCGTCACCGGTAAGCGACCTTCCATACATTCTTTAAGAATCAAGAAACCAATCTCACCACCGTCCCCTTCACCGCCAGATTGATCACCACGACGAGCCAAATACATAAGCTCTTCCAGTTTATCCCTTCTCATCCTCACTTTTATCCTTAAAGGATCATTCTTCTCTCCGGCCTCCACGTTTCCTCTCCGTCCTCCGTCGCCGAGAACCGGTTGCACTGCGCTGCTTCTCCAGAGAATATTGCCCATCTTTTTAATCTTCCTTGTCTTTCACAAATGCTTGTTATGAATTTGATACGTGTATGCCTTGTTTATATATATGTAGTACCGTCGGAGATTGTTATAATTTAACACATTATATTTTAATATCGGTGTGGACAATTGTTTTTGTTCCTAAGATCGGTTCACATTCTATTTTCATTTTTTCGGTTCTGTTAAAGTAGGGCCCAAACAATAACTGAAAATAAATAGAAAACTCGGTTTGGCTTGGTTGAATTTAAACGTGTTTGCTTCTAGCTAAATATGTGTATACAAATAATAAACTTAAACATTTTTGTTGTCAGGCAATATAATATATTTCCAGTATTGTTTTGGTTAAAAATACTAATTACTTAAGTTCAGTTTATTCGTCTTGGATTATACGGTTTGAGCTTGGTTTGCTTAGCCCGACATTGTGTTCGGTTCAATATAGAATTCAGATTGAGTTTCGGTTTGGTTTGTTTACCGTACCGTGTGGGGAAGGAGTTGAGTAAGGATGTGAACTACGATGCATGGGGCATGCGAGTGTATTAGATGAAATGAAAGATGGCTATTGAAACTTCTCGAGGCGGAGTTTAAGTGTTGTTCTGGTTCACGTATGTGCTTACGTGGATTTTAAGTAATAAGCCCATAACATAACACAGGGTGTGTTTCACGCGTCAACTATCTTAAAGTACGGTCTTTATCTCCGGGATTTGTCACCTCTCATGTGATTAATTAAACAATGATCACCTATTTCTCGTTTAATTGAAATATATATTCAAAGTATAAATTATGTAAACCTCCCCGTTTTTCTGCTTGGGCTTGATTTAATTTAAAATTTATGTATCTCGTATTCAGGAGTCAAGACCATGAATTCATAATGTATTTAACTTTAACTGGTTAGATATCAGGCCCATTATTTATGTTGGTAAGGCCGTACATATTTGGCAATGTTTTTTTTCTATTGGCGATGTTCAGCCCTATTGCTAAATGTGCGATGCTGATCCTACTATTTTTGTATACTAACATTGATCGAGTGGCTCTTGCTCTCACACATCTTCCAGTATGTAGATTCTTTCACATTCTTGAAAGTGAGTTGAAATGTTAATAAACACAAAAAACTTGTAAATATTGGCCATTAGCCGTTAGGACCCATAAAATTTAATAATGACCCGCCAAGAAATTGTTGGTACGTAATTGAGTGCACCGAAAGGTGGCACTATTTTATTCACTGGTCTTTCCACAACTTTGTTTTTCCTTTTCGTATCAAATAAGAAGACAAAAATGTTTTGATGTTGTAGGGTATGGATCGACATTAAAAATAATCGGCTAGAGCAAACACAATATGCAAAATATATGCACCTATTTTTTGTTTCGGCCATAAAAAGAGAGGTTGGTCCATAGTTAACACGTGAAGGTTCCATTATTAATACCATTTTCTGTTGATAAAAAAAATACTATTTTCTATGGCTTCAGTTGAAAGTGAAATAGTTAAATCCCATTAGAGTTTTACTTGATTAAACACCTATAATTCCATAAAGATAAATAATTTTTTTCTGTCTGTGTCGGCCTTTCTTTTACTTTTTGACCCTCACGTGAAAATTATTATCCCTTATCACTACATTAAGTGGATATACGTTTTTAAAGGGAAAATTGGTAATAAATCATAAAAAGAGAATTACTGGTAATTAGTTGTCATCTTTATAGTTTGTTTATTTAACTTTTTCTCTCGGTTTTGAAAATCTGGCCAGTGGCAGTGATTATACAAGTATACTATATGTATATAAATGGAATATTATTAACTCGCTTATGATGATTATACGACAAAAAAAATCACAATGTGATGAAAAAAAAAATCAAAATGTGATGATATTAAAAGCAGAGGATCTTCGTTTCTTTTTTACCAGGAAAAGTTGTGGACCATCCACAATTATTTTCTTTGACGTCGTAAAGTTGTTTTATACTTCACCTTCATAAAGATTCTCAAAGAAAACCTTCATCATAAACCCTCCTCCATCTTAAGTATTCTTCCTCAGCTTCCATACATTAAATGTAAACACAATTATAATCAGTTATCATTCTAGTTTGTGTCACAAAATGGGTAACTGCGTATGCAAAGGAAGTGGTGGCTCACGAAAACTATACGATAAAGATGATTTATTAATAAGAGTTGTGACACCAAATGGCGGCGTCATGGAGCTTCATCCTCCAATCTTCGCCGACTTCATCACCAACGAATTTCCCGGCCACGTCATCCACGACACCTTAAGCATCCGCCACTCCTCTCCGCCGCTTCTACAAGGAGAAGAGCTCTTTCCCGGTAACATCTACTACCTCCTCCCTTTTGCTTCCACCACAGCCTCAACAGCTCAACAACATTACACCGACCAGTTAGCAACGCCGTACCGAATGTCTTTCGGGAAAACGCCGGTGAAGGCGGCTGCGAATGGCGGCGGAGGAGGAGGTGGTGGTGGAGGGGTGTGGAAAGTGAGGCTTGTGATAAGTCCTGAGCAGTTGGCGGAAATTCTTGCGGAGGATGTGGAAACAGAAGCGTTTGTGGAAAGTGTGAGGACGGTGGCAAAGTGCGGCGGTTACGGCGGCGGAGCTAACTGGAGAGTGAATTCAGACCAGTTAAGCATTGCGAGTAGTTTCAAAGACCAGTAAAGGTAAACTTTGAATATGTGTAAACTAAAGTATATGTGATTCTTGTATGATAATTATCTTTTAGTTTCTTTCACGGTTTTAGCATTTAAATGATGTTGGGTTTTTTCGTATTTTGTGGAACGATTACAAGTTTTATCAACTTCGAACTATATATGATACATATACGGCATCTCACATGCATGAAACAATTAATTTTATGAAAAATGTTTAAATTATTAATTTTCCTTATCAAATGTTAAAGAGCAAGAGAAAAGACAAGAGAGAGAGACACATGATGATTGATGTCTACTTAGGAGTAGGCGTTCGGGAACGGGTACCCATTTGTATCGGGTATTTTAGGTTTTTGGGTATTTTGGTATTGGGGTTAAAGTTTGGGTATCTTTATATATTGGGTCGGTTCGGATATTTTTAGTTTGGGTCTGGTTATTTTGGGTCGGGTTCGGATATTTTTGATTTTGAAAGAAAATATTCAAATTCTTTATTACTTAAGTTTCATGTATTTAAAATTTAACGATCAACTTAATTGTTTTTAAAATGTTTAATAAGTTAGACGATTAATAAGTTTGCAAATAAATTATTAAAAATAAAAATCATTATTTGGTTGTTACTTTCGAATTTTGGATACAAATTTTGTTAAAATATGAAATAAGAAGCTTAATATGCATTTTAAATGAGTAACAAATCAATTTTTATACAATTGTATGTATATTATCTGATCTTAAACTATATATAATATTAATATAAATATTTTTAATAAAATGAGATAAATAAACTAGGAACAAATAGGTATATATACATATATTCGGTTATTTTCGAATACCCGTTCGGGTTTAGATATTACCCGTTCGGGTTCGAATATCCAAATTCTTTTAACTCAATACCCTTTCGGATATTTTGCTACTTTGGTTCATATTTCGGGTCGGGTTCGGGTACGAGTTAGGGTATCGGGTAATGTGTCCACCCCTATCTACTTGGGTATACTTAAGAACTTAGTTTGGGCCGGTATTGGGTCTGTAAAACTATATTGGAATGAATAATTATTAATTGTATGGTGCAAAGTGTTTGACTTCAGGCCCAAGGACCCTAATCTGGCCATGAACAATTTAGGATTAGGGTTAAAGTTATAAATCCTGCATAAATAAATACTCCCTCTATTTTTAAATAAATATCATTTTATATTTTTTCCTTGTTTCAAAATAAGTATCACTTTATATTTTCAATACAATTTTCTACACGTAATCTCTTTCTACTCTTTTAATTAACCAATAACTATTATCAAAAAAATATTTTTATGTAAATAATTATACATAAAATAAGGACATACTAGTATATTTATTCATTTTATTAATCTGCGTAAAATATGTCAAAGTGACACTTATATTAAAACATAAAAAGTATTAAATATGCACAAAAACAACTGCTTCCGAGACTTGACCAATTGATGATCATTAGCATAACCATTATGTTCGTTATTATTAATACTCTTCAAATGTTTTTTTAAATGTTCTCATATAATTTTTTAGTAGAACATTTACGTTTATAAAATTAAGAAAAATATTGAGTTAATTTATTTTATTTAATGATATCATAAAATTATATCTAAATCTAAAAACAAAATTTATATTTTAAAAATAATTTTAGAATTAAAATATTTATATAAATAATAATATTTAACATTTAAAATAAAATAGAATTTTTAAACATAAAATTATATAAACTAAATTATATTTTAAATATTAAAATTAAAATTTTTAATTACCTTTTTAAATACAATTTTTTGGATATAAACGTAAATGTTGATATTATTAAATAAAATAGATATTTTCTCAATGTATATTTATATATATATATATTATAAATACATTCAGTATATAAATTGTTTAATTTAAATATATTATATATTAATTACTATAATAATTTTCAAATAACATGTTGCTACTGTTTTATCAGTCGTTTTATAAAATAATTATAACATATAGTTTATGAAGCATATTCACCTAAGCATAATGTTCCTATAACATATTGTTACATTTTTATCATTAGTTTTACCAATCAAATCCATGTAAGTTAGCTCAAATTTGAATTTTAAAGTTTGACACAATCCTCTTTCTTTAAATTTAGATATATGGATCCTAATTGATGCCTTTACATTATCGAAAAATCACCGAATTAAACAGGAAATCTTTTGTCATTGTAAAGTTTACTTCTAATCACTCTTAATTAATGCCTGTTATTAAAGTAGAAGTAGAATACAATTAGTAGTACTAAAGATGGTCCTTTTAATTTTTTAATAAGCTAATTTTATTTATACTTATTATCAGTTATCATGAAATATGTTGATATCTCGCATTCCTTTGTGTGTACGTACGTATCTCTTAACCATATACTATGGTAACTTAATCTATTTGAAGCAAGTGAAATATAAAGAATTCATATGTATATATATAAACATATTTCTACAACTAACTTGATTCCGTCACTGCCTGCCTATGCAACTAGCCAACTATGCATATGTACTATACTATAACGATGTTGTTTACACAATTACCATATGTTAAATATTCCATTGTTTAAATCTGGTATACGTGTCCACAATGCTTACATCTCAGAAAGAGAGCACATGGTGAGGACCGGTTATGATCCAAGTCTAACAAAATATTCGTTTTAAGTCCTAAATTATGTAAGACAAAATATTCTAAATTTTTTGTTTAAGCCCTCAATTTTATTTTATTTTAGTTATTTGAAATATTTCATGAATCACCTAGGGTTATGTAAATCTAAGGATTATGTAAATCTAAGGGGCAGCCCTGCACATAGTTCAAGTTTACTACTACACGATATTTAGTATATTTAATAATGAAACCAAAGGGTACGTACCTTTCTCTCATGCATGCAAATTATTAAATACTTAATTAGCTCCTCGTGAGATACCAAAGAGTAGAAGAACACAAATATTAGACGACAAAGATTTTATTAAAAATCACCAATGATTCGATTTCAGCTGTCCTACTGCATCAACAACCAGCAAATTGGAAGATGTTAACATTTTCTTACTAAAATATACCTTAAAATAATAGTATAAGACACTAGATGTCGAAAATGTCGATCTAAATACATATTTGATTTTTGGGATTTTTTTCGATAACTCTCCTCTTGGTATTGTAATAAGGTAATTTTAACCAAAAAATGTTTATATAGACAGTACATTATAGGTTTGAACTGGTTTTGTGGAGACTACATTTTTATCATCAAACAGCATAAAAGACAAATTAATTAGGGCTGGTTTCTAATTAGGTGATCCTCGTATATGTGTACCATCAAGGCTGCTAACTAGTATGTATAGCCTTATTGGGGTAATTCTGAAACTTTCTGGCATTAGAAAAAGGCGTGGTGAAATTTATGAACAGTCTCACTAAATTAATGTAATTTATTTTATTGCATGAGGTCAACTACTTTGATAAAACTGCAAATTGTTAGCACTTCTACTAGAGCTCTTCATGGTTTTCACATCATATCCTTGAGATTTGTTAATATTGGAGATTTTATTCCTAGAATGAATTTCCTGATGTATTCATAATGTCATGTATTTATCTTTGAATTAATTTATTTGTCTTTATGACCTTCTAGAACATCGTTCTAGAGAACTGCAAATTGTTTCGAATTCGACATCACCTTGGTCACTTAGGTAATACCACTACCTTAACAAAAAGAAAGACCAAAAGAAAGTCAAGTTCACCTCTGCAGGTAGCCATTCTTAAAAAAAAATCGTTAGTTACAAGTACCTAATTACAACATAAATCTTAACCAATATAAACATTAGAATTTGTACAACCTACAAGAATAAAAGTTGAACAGCATTTTCACAAACAAAGAATAAACTATTTAAGATAGAAGCTGGACATCCTAAGATTCACGGGCATATCCACACTAGTCATCTTCCCCACGATCAGCAGACAGCAGTAAGAAACTAAATGTTTTTCTCATCCCTCAAACGGTCAAACCACATATAATATTTGTCTTAAGTATTCAAACAACATCTAGATTCGAACAAGTTGCATAAGTTCAGACATGTACAAAGTCTACAGAAACAAGACAGGGAATTAGTTAATTTTTCCGTTTAAGTATCTCTAAACTCTCAAGTTATACATAGCAATTTAAATACTTAAATTGAGAAAGAGACCCGAATATTGTAAAATTAAAATATTGACTTTCATTGTAACTTATATCAGTCATTAAAAAATTTTACAAGGCTATATCGCTTGATAAAAACGATTTGGATTTCCTCAGAAGTAATTATAAGTTAAAATAACAAGAACAAGTATCAAAGACGATGATCCTTATCAACGAAAAAAAAAAACTTAAAAGAGGAAATTGTCTAGAGAGTTACAGCGTAGTGAATGTTACAAGGAACACGTGCAAATAACTTTAGGCAACAGTAGGTTCTTAATATTATATATACACATTAATAAAGACTTTAGAAGGATTTATAACATGACAGATCGTACGTCCATTTCACGTACTCTTCCCCCATGATTTCATATGATTTTCTCTAGCCCTATTGCTTTAAGTTTCTGCACTCTTTTGGAACTTCCTCTCATTATCTAGTCCTCCTAAAGAATTCAGGTTTCATTAACATTCCTTAATGAGACGTCGTCATTAGTTTATAACACCGTATATAGTATTGTAGTATGGCGGCTAATGACAATTTTTTTTTATTTACTTATCATGCTTTATATTCCTTGTATATAATATACCGAGAGATATACATCAGATATGTACCAAGAAATTACGTTCGTTACAACATTCAAATATTACAAATCTTCTAACATAAGTATTCTTATTATTTACACGTTTAGTTTTTTTTTTGGGTTTCTTACAATGTCACTTCTAAAATCTGCATATAAACACTATATATAACGAAAGCCTTCACCAGCAGCAGTTTACTTATAGTGTTACAGTATAAATCAGTATTATCACTGTTGAAATTTTTTGGAAAAAAAAAAGATAATGTGAATATGCAGAATTTGTTTTGGCAGCAACTTTATATCCATTGAACTTAATTTACTATATCATTGACATTGATTCAAGAGGTGAATTTTTCCAAAAGGGTCTAGACTTCATTTTTACCGTCGTCCGACAAGCACGAGTACGTGTATATCAGTATATAGTCATATGATATCTCACCACAACATTGAAATTTTTGACAAAAACAATGACGATAATACATCAATTAAGATTGCTTCCCATGCAAACTCTCTTCGTCTCCTAGAATATATACATGCATTTTGCTTCTTGATCACTAACAAAGATAAGTTTATTTTCATTTTCTTAATCCACTTTCGCCAACACGGCTGCTCACAAGATACCGACACAAATTATACTAGTATTTTGACCAACACTAAATATGATTTATCAATGTGTGCGATAAGCATATATCTTGTTAGCGTAAAAAACAAGAGAGCTCGATAGCTCATGTGCCTCTATCTAGGTCATCACATGAGCCACTATCCATTTATTTTGTTATAGTTTTGTTAGGACTCCATATCGTAAAGTTAAAAATAACATAAAAACGAAATTAAAACATACAACAAATTTCAGTGATTATCATTTTGTTTTGAGTTCAAAGCCTATCAAGGATAAAGATAGTATTCCATTTACAGAGTGAGCTTTTTCAGACCCGCTGGTACTTGCCTAGTGATGATGTAACAAGGAGCATTGGTTTCTTATATAAACTCAAACCCATGTAAAATAACAAAATACAAAAAAAATAACCGTTTGTAAATCGGTCCCCACAAAATCTACAACATACGTACGTACATGCTTTGCAGATAGTAGAAAACAGCTGTTCATCTAGATTCATGTGATTATTTTTTAAAAATTAAGATGAATCCACTCTCTTCCTTGAATATGCATGGATACGTTTTAATTTAATAGTCCGAGTGAGTTGCATGCTTGATTTACGAGTCACAGATTACTGACCCCGTTTGAACGCTGCTTGAAACATATATTTTTCTTCTTCTTTCTTTGCCAAATATATGAATTTCATTCGAGAATAATTATATGATTGGTTGTAATGGTTTACAAAGGCTTGAAACATATTTTAATATTTATGAATTTCTTTTTATCTCCATCCTCTAATTTTCATGAGATTGGGTATTGCCATTTTTTTGTGTGACACTGGGAATTGTCATGTAGGTGTAGTATATTACATCTCATCATCGGCCAAGTCTATCGTCATTTTTCTTACGTACCTTTTACAACAACCACTGATATATTACTTGAATCCACATCGAAAGTACGTAAAGTTAAGCTAGTAGTTTTTAATCTCGTATTCAACATAATATATATATATTAATGAACTCTTTCATCACATGCCACTCTTTTGCCTTTCCCTCAAGTTTTTGTTTTATTTTTCTTTAAAAATGACTAATGTCTTGTCCATAGAGATTTTTAAGGTCGAGGGTCACAGTAGCGATGTGGGCTTGCTTCCTACTTACAGTTGACATGTTGATCCCACGTGGGCCCTACTTCTACCCAATAGCTACGTGACCTGGTCCCACCTTGTGTCACAACCTTTTACTCTTTATTTCTCCCGCTGTAATTACGATATACTACCAAAAAGCAGCAAATAAAGGACCTTTTTATCTTTGAATAATGAGATTAAGAGACTCTATCTATCTTGACCTTGTCTTTGTGAATTAGAATTACGTGAATAATTTTTTTACTAATGATTTTTGGCGTTTTACTATATGTTAAATAATTGGGATGTTTTATTAAGTCGGACAAAAGAACATAAAACGGTTGTGATAAAATGTAAACTTTTAGAGTCTCGTACAAGTTAACCATTAGTAGAGTTTAGAAATAGTGGCAAACATAAGTCAAAACTAACATCATTAAATTGTGAGTATGCAGTTGGAGGCAAAGGGTAGGTAAAACCAAAACTCTAACTCTTCTAAAAGTATATTTGATCTAGAGTTGATGATGTCTTGAAACCAAAACTAAAGACGCTTATTCAGAAGATTTTTGTGATCCACAGTTAGCTCATAGGTGGTAATTTTCCATGGAACTCACCATGAGAGTTCCACTGGGGAATATATATAACAGGCATGATTTCATAATTACTAAAATAAGTTCTTAGAGGCTCATATGTTTATTAGTAAGTGGCGGCACATGCGAACGAATTATCAATTATGACATCATGGATACACCAAGTATCCAGGAAATACAACTAGCTAGTACTTTCCAATTTTAAAAGCAAAACTTATTAAAAAGAGAATAAAAAAGTGAGAGCAAAGGGACACATGCATTCTCCTCATGCATGATTTTTTTTGCCTCTTTATGTCAAAGGTACACACACATGTATATATAAACACACTTTGGTTAGTTATAAACTCGTTCTATCATCATCTTCTTCTTCTTCTTCCTCTCTCCTGTCTTTAACAATGAACATATCAGTAAATGGACAGTCACAAGTGCCTCCTGGCTTTAGGTTTCACCCGACTGAGGAAGAGCTCTTGCAGTATTACCTCCGCAAAAAAATATCTAACATCAAGATTGATCTCGATGTTATTCGTGATGTTGATCTCAACAAGCTCGAGCCCTGGGATATTCAAGGTTCATCATTGATCTTTTATATGTCTCATAATTATAATTTTGGATCGAGTGTATACATATACTTCTCTTGTTTCCTGACTAAAACGTATATCTAAGGCTGGTTTATATTACATTTAATTAATCCGTTCACGTTGCGTCATAATCTAAAGCTTCATCTAGTGATTTCACCTCAGTGAAATTCACAGAATTCAATATATTATTTAATTGGTTGATTGCTAACAAGTTACTATTTAACTGAAGAAATAATTGTACTAACTCTTGTTATGCTATACAGAGATGTGTAAGATTGGAACAACGCCACAAAACGATTGGTACTTCTTTAGCCACAAGGACAAGAAGTATCCCACGGGAACAAGAACCAACCGAGCTACCACGGTCGGGTTTTGGAAAGCAACGGGACGTGACAAGATCATATACAGCAATGGCGATAGGATCGGTATGCGGAAAACACTTGTCTTCTACAAAGGTCGAGCCCCACATGGTCAAAAATCAGACTGGATCATGCATGAGTATAGACTCGACGAGAATGTACTAGTCTCCTCCTCGAATCTTGACGATGACGTCACTCTAGAAACGTGTGAAGTCATAGGAGGAGGAGGAGGAGACGAAGGATGGGTGGTGTGTCGTGTTTTCATGAAGAAGAGTCTTTGCAAAACTGTAGTCAGCAGCCCGCCGAGATTGATGAAAACGCCGCCGTTCAATGAGGAGACTATCGAGCAATTTCTTGAAGTTATGGGGCAGTCTTGTAAAGAAGAGACCATCTTAGACCCTTTCTTGAAACTTCCCAACCTCGAGTGCCCTAACAACACCGTCGCGAGTTACCAGCGGTTGATGGACGACCAAGTCAACAGCTGCCACGTTGGTAAATCTGTGGACCCCAGCCTCGTCACTAGCTGGGCTGCTTTGGATCGTCTCGTTGCCTCGCAGCTAAATGGGCCCAACTCATGTTATGAGATCCCACAATCACCGTTCCATGGACTAAACCGGCCCGGTTCTTACAATACTGGTTTGAATCCTGATTATTATATACCAGAGATGGAAATATGGAACGACGACGTCATCGTCCAACCAATTGTGTCACATGTCCGACATTAGTGAATAACGGAAAATGAAAGAGGAAGTGATTACTAATTACCAAAACAAAAACAAAAAAAACATTGTGTAGAAAGATGTAATAATCATATCATAGTTGTTGAAACATTTAAGAAAAACGGTCAGACTTGTAATAATTACAGTGGTTATGTGAAATCATTACATAGAATAAAAATTATATATGTTTGGTGTACATTTAATTTCATGATTTTACTTATAAAATAATAATGGTTTTTGCTATTTATTACTGTATAATCGTTGACAAAAAAATACTGTATAATCATAAACCATTTTTGGATACTTATCATTAGATGAACAAAACCAAATACTTCAAGATTTTAAAAAATCAGATCTGCTAAATTTATTCGTCGACAGAATTAAAATTGATTTATAATTATCTTTACCTTTTTCTGTTCAATCTTTATCGTTTTACCCTCCTATTACATTAATTTTATATTTTCTAGTGAATAGCTCTTAGGGAAATTGAGATATTTTGTTGGTTAAATGCTTAGTTTTGATGTTTTCTTTTTGAAAAGGGCTTAGTTTGATGTTGACTAGTTTGTTTCTCTCATCATTAGACTTAGATTAATGGAGTAACCCGATTAATCACCTTAACAAACTTGGATTAAGATGCACCAAGTGCCTAATCAGAGTTAATTAACCTACCTAGGGTGCGGAATCTTACTTTTGAAGGAAAATGAAAGGACTCAATAGCCGCTCCTTTTAGACATAAATTTGATTTTCCAGGATGAAATTTTCTCTATATATCTTTCAGGAGGTACAATATGTATCAAGTATGTGGGCTTCTGCTTAGTAGCTGTTCATTGTACTACCACTATATTGGACCAGGCCCATATTGTTTATAGCTCAGTAACCTCATATTAGTAGATCCCTCGTTGTTAAAGGATGAAATCTCATCACACCAACAACTTGCATTCAAATTCTATGAAACATTTTTATATATACCTAGTAAATTAGTAATACAATAAAGCCAAAATGAATATTAACTTTTTAAAAATTAATTAATGTACATATACTAAAATTAAATATATTTTTCTCATTTTAGAACAAAAATATTTTTCAAAATACTTTTTATTAAAAAATTAATAAAATACCATAGTTCAAATATTATTAATTTATGGAGTTTTTATTGTATGTAATTTTAGTAATGTGATACTTTTTGTGTTTCCATAATTTTTCTACTTAATGTGTTAGGTTTTGGTACGGATTGGGTATGAAAATTATGAAAGTAAACTGTACTTTACAATTTACTACACAATATGTTAAAAGGACATTTTGATTATCATCTAATGTTCTTTACCATCAAAATATTTAATAGGACAAAGAAAAAGGGACATTAATTTTCTAGAGGTATATTGATTAGTGTAATAACCATTTAAGAAAAAAAATATATATAAAGGCTTTCCACTAGTGTCGACACACTCGACCGACAATTGAATCCTGGCCATTTATCACACGCCATGACTCATGGTCGTTGAGTTTGAGTGGGTTCGTATTCCACTTACACCTTTGCTTACGGAAATTTGGGAATCTTCTAACAACCGTATTTCTTAAAATGTTTATTAATCCAACTTTTTGTTTCTTACTTTGATGTAAACACACCATAATATTCTATTTATTCCAAATATGCTACACATTTTTTTTTTTTTGGTAAACATGTTAAATAAATATGCTACGCATAAGATTCAAATTGTATATGATTTCGAAGAACGTGACATTCAACAGGTCAAATAGCGCAGTAGTGCAGCTTATTATTATTATTAATAATACAATCTGAGGTATTAAAATTATAATTATAATTCCCGCAGTGGAAGATAAAATTATAGTTATAATGTTGAGGCATATATTACTAATATTATACTCCCTATTAAATATAGTTTTAAATAATTGTAATATTATTTTAATATATTTTACTAAGGCATATCAATAACGTACGGTAATATTCATGTCGTATACTGTATAAAATTATACTGATAAAACAGAGGCCGTTTAATTTCTTAAAATTTTGTCTGCAACTCTCTATGGACAAGTACTTGCTTTCAGGACAATAAAAATTAATGCAGACGTAGAAACCGGGCGTTATCAGAAAAATAAAGCAACATTTTTTTAACTTTCTTTTTGCTAAAATGAAACGTTGTAAAATTGATATAAACTGAGAAATTTTGTTTTTTCCTAACAAGTGGAATCAATTTATTTATTAGTGATTATCCCTCTTCAACCTTTCAAACTTACACGTCTCCTAAGAAAATTTCAAACGCAAATTGCCAAAATTGGTTCGTCATTGCTTACAATCATCTCCACCATTGTGATCATCGTCAATCAGAGAAACATACAGCGTACTGAAACGAATTATAATTTATAAACCGAACAACTATCATTCATAATCTCACGCGTTTTACATTCATATTTACAAACACCATGCACTTTTACTATTAATCTTGTGGGTTAGGCCGTGTTTGGCTCCACAACTCCACAAGAATTAGACCAACTAAAACAAAAACAAAAGTAAAAAGGAATTAAAGCTGAATATTAAAAACAAAGACAATTTTTTTGTACCGCTAGTGCTTGCTTGCATCATCTTTATGTTTATTTGATATACCATCATCATCATTAAGATCTAAAGCATCCAACAAGATGGTTATGGCTACTATGATAATGATTGCCATGATAATTAACAGATATCTCTCTATGGATCTTGTCTTGAACATACCGGAAAACCTCCACATGGCAAGGGATCGTGATGGTACCTTTCTGCTCGAATCCATACTCTTCTTCTGCTTCCTTTAGGAGTTGCATGAACAATGGATGGTTAAAATAGAAAACAGGAACAACAAATCTTTGTTTCTCCTCTTCTCTTGATCCCACTTTGATTGCTAAACAACCTTTTGGAACATCTTTGATCCCTTGTTTGCTGTTGTTCTTAGAACGATTTAAGTGGAAGCTCTTTAGGTTTTTCTCTCGGGAACCCATACTTTCGAAAACGATGAAGAGAAAAGAAAACTGAGGAAGATTTCTTAAGCTTCACGATAATACTTGGCTTTAAAACGGTTTGAGAAAGGCCAAGGGTTTTCAAGTGGAAAGGAACAGAGTTTATGAGAATAAAGTTGCCCATTTTTGCTGTCAAGATAACAAAATTGGATTTAATGAGCTTTGCTGACTGAGATAAAACAATAAAAGGTTCAAAAGGTGAGACTTTTTTGTAAAGGGAAACTTATATATCATACATTCTCCATTTCATATTAATCCTTGTGAAGAAGTTTGTTTGTTAATACAAAATTAATTATTTTTCTATTATAATTTATTTTTCTATTAGTTGAAATATGGTTATATGTATAAGTAATTGTGTTTTTATATATAAAATATACAAAACCAATTTTTTTCTTAATCTGTATGTACAAAGGTAAAATGACACTTAATATAAAACATAGAAAGTATATATATTGTTTTCTTAAAATATATTATGTTATCTTTAAAATATATAAATAGAATTTTACATATTTGTTTTAAATTCAAGTTATTAGTTGATAAAAAATTGTGTTATACACAAATTAAAAGTATATTATATTATTTTCGTTTCAGAATACATATTACTAACTATAATAGGTTAAGAACCATGTCTTGCGATAGATAAACAATTTATATACAGACTATATTTATGCATTATTAATTATTTTATGCTTTACAGAAAATATGAAAAAGTATTTATTTTCTTACTATATATGCACAATGGTAAAGTGACACTTAATCTGAAGCATAAAAATATTAACATATATATATATATATATATATATATATATATATATATATATATATATATATATATATATATATAATATTTTATGGCTACTTATTAAATGAAGTTTCTACGCATATGATTTTAGGATTTCAACATCTTTTTATAACAAAATTTAAAACCACTGATTAACTTTTAAAAAAAATGTGGGATGTTTAATAGTTTTAGTAATTTATAATCTTTTTAAAAAAAATCAATGCAAATTTCAAAATTAAAATATTAATTTCAATGAAAATATAAAAATATAAGTATGTATTTTTATATGGTATATAATTTAGTTTAAATGATATTAAATAAGATTTCTTATATATGTGGTTTTATAATCATTTATATCATATTATAGGAAAAATTTAATCATTGATCACAAAAGTTTATGTGAGGCTTTTAACAGTTTAGTAATAGATTATCGTTTAATAAAAATTCAGAATACAACATATAGGAAAAAATTTAAATTTTTATTATATGATTAATGTAATTATGTCATTTGTTTTAATAAAAAAAAGATTTAAACAAAATTAATAGAAGATATACAAATTGTTAGCGAATATTTATTATTGAATATCATTAATTGTTATATATATATTTTAAACACATTAGGTAATTTCATAGTTTTTATTTTAAGAAAAAAAAAATATATTTTTTAAAAATATCTGTATTGAATTTTATGATTAGTTTGATGAAAACCATATCTATATTTAGAATGACCAACTTCTTTTGTTAAGAACTCTCAAGAATCATTTTTCTGATGACATGTGTGATTCAAATGTTATAATATTTTCTTTTTAGTGTATAAAATATTTCAATAAATATATAGTGTTCTAGTTATCAATAAAACTATTTAGGCCCACTGAAGAGGCAGTGCTGGGCTTCTTCCTTCACTATAAGAGTCCAATTTTTTTTTTTTTTTTTTTTTTGATCAAAGACTCCAAATTTAAAGTTTAAGTTACCAATGTTTCAAAATCATGTTTATTACATTCATAGAACTATTAATCTGTCTTGATAAGAAAAGAGAACACTAAGAATCATATAGAGAACCAAAAAACCTTATTATTCAAAAACTAGCTTACAATGAAGAAAATGACAAAATGGCATAATTAAAAGTTAAAAATATATTTTTATTTTATATTTTTGGGTTTGGATTTAATCATATGGTTTAGTAGTTAGGAGAGTTAGGGTAAAGATTTAGACATTTTAATTAGTGATAGTTTAGTTATTTTTTCCCTCTGTGCTGATTTCATCACAATGGTTTTTGTGCAAGCCAAATCACTTGCCCAATCATGGAATATATTATACATATCAAAAACTTCAGCATCAAATTAATCAGAAATCTTTTTCCATACATAGTAAAAAATATTGGCAACAGTTAGTATATATCCAAGTCATTACTAGTATATCGCTTTAAAAAAAAACAGTTAGTATGTATCGAGGATGTACTTTTCACGAGGTATTTGGAAAAGGTTGCATAATAATGCGCCACAGATATTCAGTAATCGAAATCTTAGTTGGGGAAAAATAAAATAATACACCATGGTGTAAAGAAGAAAGTAAATGTAAATACACAATGGAACACCGATCTAAATTTGACATCAAATCCTAGAGGTAGCTAGAAAGACAGACAGACACTGAAACCGTAGTTATAAGAAAATTAAGGTCAAAGTCTTCGTTCATAAAGCACATACAGTAACTAGTAAAAAGAAAACAAAGTTACAACGACAAAATATTAAAGACTTGGTAATCTTTTTATCAACAAAAGACATGGTAATTTGTGTTAATCACTAGTGAAAAATAACTTTTGGAAAACAAATTCAAATTCTCCTTTACACTTTTCTTTTTAGATTGGTGTTTATTTTAATTATCTGTTTTTTTTGTCAACAAGTTTTTGTTTAATTTAAATATCTCGCTTATTCCTGCTCTGATCCAGCGAATGTCCAAAATAAAAACATTCCTTTTTTTCACATTTTAATCTTTCGCTTTGTAATTTTCACCTATTGGACAGAGGTTGTGAAAAACAAGGAGTGTTTCACTTTCACTTCCACACTACATCAACAGATAAGTTTCTTAACATAAATGTTGATTATTTGGATTGACGTTTGACGGTACTTGGTTTACACCACAATGTATCGACTACGATTCTTTATCATTTGTAACAAATACTATTAAACTAAACTAATACTACTAGTAGTGTAATACAAGGTGATGTGATAAAGATGAGCTAAGTTATTAACAACTGAAAAGATTAGTTAGTTCAAATTATCGAAAGAGAAGTTTAACATCCAAAATGGCATTTGCAATATTGCGACATTAGAAATATTTAAAATGAGAAAAAGAGCTTCGTGATCCTCGTATGCTTGAAGACTGCAGAAGGCAAAATATAAGAGTGTGAGTAGAAATATATATACATACGAATTGTATTGGAGTATAAACAGTATACTTATTTATTCTGATAGTTTTTTTTTTTTTTTGCTTAAATATTTATTCTGATAGTTAGAATGACGAAACCCTAGACTAGTAGATGTGAACATATATAGTAGTAGTTTGAAAGATTCAGATCTAGATTCAGATCTAGTAGACCTGGTTTAGTTTCTTGTAAACAGACGGATCTGAAACTGAATCATCCTCATCATTAAATATCTTCAATAGATCTACTCATAAATACTACTATAATTCGTAGTGACATCACCTAAAAAATTTATCATTACAAAATATAGCTCGAAAAAAAAATCGAGAAAAAGTTAGTAATGATGATAAACTTTTATGTTTCTCACAGTCAGTTCCTTCATCATTACACCAATCTGTTAAAATAGATACAAACAAAAAATTGAAACCCAGATAAAGTACATGAACCCCCGCATAAATTACTTTTGTAAAAGAGTGTTAAAGATCGAACATTTTTCACGTTGAATGGATTCAGACCTAAACCAGAAAACGACAAAGAATAGAAAAAAAAAAAGGAAGAGAGTTCTTGGTTAATTAGGATTGAGAGGAAGTAATAATTGGGGGGAATGAAGCCTGGTCCGAAGACACTAAAACCCTAATCAATCATGATCAAGAAGGTGTTATAAAACGAGATTGAGTTAGAATAAGAGTCCTCGAGCCAGACAACAGTCCCCTCAAAAGAAAAATCCCTCTATAAATCCTTTTTTTCTTTGTAATCATACTTTTCTATTAGGGTTTTTCAGGAAGTGTTCTATCTCTCTCTCTCTTTGTTAGTCCCCCTCCTCCCCCCCATCAGATCCGGCTGAGATCAAGGAAGAGAGAGAAAGAGAGAGATGAATGTGGAGATGATGATGAAGAGAATGATGAGAGGATAAATAAATAAGAGGTTTTTATGAAGAGAAGGACTCATGAGAGGAAGTGAGCCCAGCTATACAAGACAAAATAAACATGGGTTCTGGCTGGATGTGTCCCACAACTATTTATTTGTTTATATACGTATATTTCTTTTTCTTCCTTGGTCAACAGTGTAAAACAATTATTTCAAGTTTCGAGATTTCAACGTAAACATTTGGATTAACTTTTTGAGACATGTCAATCGATTTCTCATTTTACCAACGTATTTTACTTGTTAAAGCAAAAACATAGTCCATAGACTCCAACCTCTTTTTCTGTAAATGTTATAGCAGAATATATTTAATAATTTTGTAAGAATTCTTATTCTGGTTAAGCCTTTTTCAAAAAAATAAAAAATAAAAAATCCTATTCTGGTTTATTTTTTAGCTTTTGACCAAATCAAAGGGGGGAAACAAGAAAGATGATGATAATCAGTGACCGCGAAACTGGTACATATTAAGGGACGATCAAATCATAAGATGACAGTATAATAATGATAATTTTAGTAAGTTGATAGATGAAAATTGGAAAGCGGAATCAAAAAGAGGAACGATGATTATCTATAAAGTTAGTCAGAGGAGTAGTTGGGTTATTGATCTGCCCAAAATTACCATTCTTCATTTATTATCTCCAACTTTTGTTCTCAATTTCTGCTTTTAATTCTGAATTTGTTGACAAAAAAAAAATTCTGAATTTAATTTTTTGGATAACTTCCTTTTCATTTTCTTGTTTCAATCAATTTCCATTCTCAATATTTTTTATAGAAAACCTTTACACTACCCTCAAATTTTCCGAAGATGCAAAAAGTGAATAGAGAATTAACTGACATGTCACTAAAAAAAAACTATTTTAGATTTGAATTTGTTAACTCAACAGAAATATAAATATATATAGAAGAACAACGGTCACATACATAGTGTTGAATATAAGACATCACATAGATGCATATCAGTATATCTAATACTTCTTTTGTTTCAAAAAATTGT